AGCCGTTCCGCCCGATTAGTGAAGTAAAATGTTATCTTCAAAATTCGAAGTTACTTGGTTAGTTAAAAAGGAATAACTATGGCAGTACCAATCACCAAAGCACCACAACAATGACAGCAGACAACAACAGCAGCAGCACCATTACCGGCATGCATTTTGGTCCCAATACGAAACGCACAAAAACAGTGCAAAAGCTCCTGGTGGAATTTTTCTGTTTCAAATTTTAAAAATTTTGAAAAACTGGGAACACTGGAAACTTCTACAATTTAAAACAGAAAAAGCTTCTTCCCTTATCAAATCAAGAACAGAAAGCCCATCCTAATTACGGTCTACAAAAAATTGGTGCGAAACAATGTTTTGCCTTTAATTTAAACATTTACGCCGTATTCAAGTTGAATTTGTACTGGTATTCTGATAAAGCTTTGTCCTAGCCCCTGTTCTAGTTAAAAACTGACCGCGTAAACACCCATACTCATTCCTCATTTCTATTTCACCTGTTTCTGCATTAAGCTCTCTCCTCCTGCTGATTTCGTGTCTCCATATTTTCACTTATTCTCAGACACATCTCTAATCCCAGTATTATTATCTGTAGGAATGCCCACAAATTACATATTTCTAAGCCTCTTATTTTCCCGATTTTGTCTAAGTCCAATTTTCGAAGTTTTATCTAAAGTTGTCAGATTTAGACAAAAAATCAGAACAACTTCGAAAAGTGTTATCAATTTAATACTTTTTCAACATGTGTAGGGCGTGAAGCAGAACAATTGGAGCTTTTAAAGCTGCTGCTCATAAAACAGAAAAATGAAACTGCAAAGAGAGAGAGAGACAATAATTTTTTCCAAAGTCAGAAGGAGCACTCCAAAGCACAGTGCACCAAACATCTAACACTAAGGTTGTGCTGCTATGGCTTTTCTACAGTACGTACCTGTCGGACGTCAGTATCAGATATCCTCTGAAATAACAAATATTATGATAAAAACGAAAAGAACTTGCAAATTACGAAGGCTAAGTATCATACGATGTGTTAGTTTACAAAAAGTTCTGGCGCCCAACCACTTTAAAAATATTTGTCTCCCATACCCTACATGAATGTAACTTTTCGAAATTTCCCCGGAGCCGAACAACCAGGCCCACACACAACAAGCGGAAAAACAAAGGCATGACCTAAACATACCTCCAACTCAAGACAAATTGGAAAGATGATATCAACGTGACAGTTAGGTGAGGTGCATAGGTGAGGCGCAAGCAACAAACCTGGAGATCAGTATTCAGAACCATGATTTTTTCTGTTGATATGAACAAGTCGATGTCGGTACTCGGCTGAATCTCGCCAGCCGGCGCCTAAAATTAACAATCTTTTGACTATTATTTCAATAAAACATTGATGACTAATGTTTTTATGCGTTTTTGCATATATGTAAATTGCAAAAACGCATATTGGGAAGAGGCTGTCTGTG